TGCTAGGAGATTTTAATGAAAAAATCGGAAGGAAAAATGTCTTTGGCCCCAACGTCGGAAAATTCAGCCTTCATGAAGAAACATCCGACAACGGCATGATGTTTATTGACTTTGTGGCAGCAAAAAATGGTAGTTAGCAGCACCAGATTCAAGCTTCTCGATATACACAAGGCCACCTGGATCTCTTCTGATCAAGTAACGATAAATCAAATTGATCATGTTGTGATACACGGAAGGCATTCATCCAGTGTTTTAGATGTCCGATCGATCCGAGGAGCGAATGTCGATTCGGACCATTACCTTGTGGCAGCCAAGGTACGCACCCGTCTTAATGTTGCAGCAAAGGTGCGATCTAATACAACACGGAAACTCGACGTCGAAAAGCTGCAAAAACAGCAGGTAGCAGAGGCCTATTCCGCTCAACTTACCCATCTGATTGAAAAAAACACTTCTTGTCCCGATAATAGTATATAAGCACAATGGCAAAGAATTGCGCACTCCCTAAAAACTGCAGCAAAAGCAACGCTTGGATATCAAAAACCACCACCAAGAAACCCATGGTACGATCAGGAGTGTCGTAATGCTATTGATGTGAAAAACGCAGCGTATAGGGCAACCCTGCAGACAGTAGCAACACGTTACGTGATGGAGAATTATCGGGAGAAAAGGAGAGAGGATAAACGTGTTTTCAGAAAAAAGAAGAAAGAACAAGGAAAACGTGAGCGTGAGCAGTTCGAGATGTACAGGAGTCAGAATGAAGTCTGGAAATTTTACCAACGAATAAAACTCCAAACCGAAGGCTTTGGTGCAGGCACATCCTCCTGTAGAGATGAAGAGGGAAACCTGGTGACAAATACAGACAGCGTGTTGGGGATCTGGAAGGAGCATTTTGAAAAGCTTCTGGTATCAAATAGCGGCGTTGAAGAAGATACCCGAGAACCAATAAGAGATGATGGTATAGAGTGTATATCACCTAGCCAAGATGTGGTCATAAAAGCAATTAATCGGCTCAAGAACAACAAAGCAGCAGGAGCCGATGGGTTACCAGCCGAACTATTCTAGACTGGTGGTCAGATGCTGGTCAGGAGCATGCACCAGCTCATTTGTACAATTTGGCTAGAGGAATGCATACCCAATGATTGGAACCTCAGCATCCTGTTTTCCATGCACAAAAAAGGAGACAGGACGATATGTGCCAACTATAAAGGAATAAGCCTCCTTCCCATCGCATATAAAGTGCTAGAAAGCGTGCTGTGTGAACAACTGGAGCCAGTGGTCAATGACATTATTGGCCCATATCAATGCGGCTTCAGACCTGGCAAATCCACCATTGACCAGATTTTCACTCTGCCCCAGATCCCGGAAAAAGCCGACGAGAAGTACATCGACACATTCCACATATTCGTTGACTATAAAGCCGACAGCCCTATCCGTTCAGAGGTGTTTAAATGCATGCCTGCTTTTGGCATTCCTGCAAAATTATGGATATGCTGGATAACTTTAACTGGTTCAAGATCAGTAGTTAAAGTCTGATAGGACATCTCGGAGCCCTTTAATATCTAACGAGGATTCAGACAAGGTGACAGTTTATCGTGTGATTTGTTCAACATCCTACTTGAAAATGTCATACGAGTTGCAAATTTGAACAGAAATGGCACTCTGTATACCAAACAGCATATGTTACCAGTCTACGCGGACGACATCGACATAATGGATCGAACACTGGGAGCGGTAATTGCCAACTTTGAATGAATTGAGAAGGAATCAAAGTGGGACTGGTAGCAAATGGCGGAAAGACCAAGATGATGGTATCAACGCGCAAGACGTCCAGTAGACTCGGGCCAACTGTGAAACTTGAAAACTGCAGCATCGTGTAGTGAACGATTTTATATACCGCGGTACCCCATAAACAAAACTTATAACATAAGCTCCGGAGGAGAATAGTGTTGGCCAACAGATGCTACTATGGTCTGAGTAAGCAACTCAAACTCGCACTCTACAAGACGAGGCAGCTCTTGGAGTGTTTGGGAGAAAAATTCTACGGAAGATCTATGTGCCGTCTTGCGTCGATGGTGAATATCGCCGTCGAATGAATCATGAACCGTTAGCTAGGCCATCTTGAGATTCGATGTGGGATCAAATCAGAAATTTCAATAACTTGATATTGGATTAAAAAATTTGGAAAATCTTGACACTTTTTGGGGAAGGTATCAGAACGTGGACCAAAGGATCACATCCTCTAACTTGATCTATGTAGGGTGAATTCATTTTCTCGTACCAATTTTGGGTTAAATTGGAGATTTACAGGTCTTCAAAATGGTGACCTTTTAAATATTAGATTGTGTAACTTTTAGTTCAAATCCGGGAGTACCAGAAGGATTGGACGATTGGTCCCATCTTTTGATTCGATCTAGGCTAAGAAAAATTATTACAATGAGCAAAGTTTGGGTGAATTTTGGATATTTCGTTTTTTTCATATATCAGTTACCAAGTTTCAAAATGTTGACCCTTTGTGGAGGAGGTACTAAAAGGTGTGGACCGATAAGTATCATCTCCTAACAATATACAGGTATGTATTGTAAAAATATTAGCATAATATTGTAAAATAAATTTTCACTTGATTTTAGTTTAAAAAAATATATATTACGATATGCAATGTTTGTCCGTACCAGAAGGAGTGGACCAATGGTTCCCATTTTCTAACTTGATCTAAGCTTGGTAAAGATATTAGGTTGTGTAAAGTTTGGTGCATATCGGATAGTCGGCACGGATGATATTATAAAATTATTTTTTTTAGCAAAATATCGATTATTTTGTGGGGGAGGTACTAGAAGGAGTGGACCAATCAATATTCCCATATTCAAACTTGGACTAAGTTTGGAAGATATCGATTACTTAGTTCTAGATGTATCGTGCTCACCGGCCGGCCGGCCAGACAGACAGACGGACATTTGTGAATCGACTCCAAATTGACTGAAACGGATATAGTCCAAAATCAGTAAGGAAAGTAGTAAACTCGGACGTGGCCGACCCTTCACCACTTTGGGTATATTCAAGAGATGCATTCTAACAGACGTCGCATTTTTTAAAAGAACATTGTCGTGAAATTTTATGAACATAACTATGTAATCTTTATTTATATGTCATTCTGCAATCTATGCTAAATCTGAACCGATTTCTACCAAATCTAAGACAATTTATTTTACACTTATTTAAATACGATATGAAAATGTTCGACTCAATCGGATAAACTTTAGGAGTTTGGTGCACCACTTACCTAAAATCGGACGAAAATATATATGGGAGCTATATCTATATCTGAATCGATTGTTTTCCAATTTCAATAGGGTTCGTCCTTGGCCAAATAAGTGAGCTGTGCCAAACTTTATCTTATTCGGATTGAAAATGCGAACTGTGAAAGGAAACGGGACACTTGATAGACCCATGATTACTTTTGAGAATATGCATAGAATCACTCTCTGAGTCGATAAATGCATGTCCATCCAACCGCCTGTCCATTTGTTGATGTAAAATTGTAAACGGGTCGCATTTATGATACGATTTTGATTAAATTCGATACAGTTCTTTTATTTGGTATGGTGAAAATCCGTTCAGACACCCAAAGTTTGTCCGATTGAGAAGAAATTTAGTATAACGTACTGATTGATACGAAATTTGGAATACCATACCGTAGTGAGTCTGTTATTACGTGTTTTAACTCTCGTCCGATTCTATTTAAGTGGTGCATCAAGCCCCTATATATCCTTCGATATTCACGAAATTGTGCATGGCGTATTTAGTTTAGTTAAGCATTTAGATGTAGTTCCCATATACATATATATTTTCGCCGGAAAGCCCAAAGGTTCCATATCCTAATGTTTATGCGATTAAGATGAACTTTGGAATACTGTACTATATTGAATCTTAAATTAACTCAAAATCTTGAATTTGTCCTTCTGGGTTTTTAATACACCCACCAAGGGCCTTCATCCCCATATGGAACTTTCTATTCCCCAAAATCTTGTTGAGCAGTGTAATGAATTAAGTTTTGACATTTTCCATACTTTTTAATTTTACATTTCGGGTTCTTGGAGATTAAAAAAACTTTTATTTCTGTAACCAGCATTCCGGTTTTCATAAGTTGGATAACATCTTTGCAGAAGAGTTTCAGTATAGGGCCATAAGTATCGGAATAATTTTCGTTTTTTTTTTTTAATTTTGTTGTAATTTGAAATTTCATACTTCTGATGAATAAAACAACTTCTTCCCGGATAATGTTGAGATTATGTGGCTTGAGACAGAATTTTCGTTTTCGAGGCACGTCGGTCTTTTGAGCAGTTTATCCAATTTGAAAGACCATTTTCGGCAATGTTGAGATCTGCGTGAACCATCAGCTTGTTCCCTTTTATATGCCTTTTGAGCTGGGCCATCCTCATCCATTCTCACAACATGACCTAGACAACGTTACTGCAGCTCAGTACGTCTAACAATGTCGATGTCCAAGAATAGCTGGTACAACTCATAGTTCATTCGACGGCGATACTCAACGTCAAACACTCCAAGAGCTGCCTCATCTGCTTGCTTGTTGGTTGCTTGGTAGAATTTTCGGTTTTCATTCTGACTCCTGTACATCTCGATTCGCTCACGTTTTTCTTGCTCTTTCTTCTCTTTTCTGAAAATACGTTTCTCATCTCTCCTTTTCCCGTTTGTTTTTCGTTTATTTTTCGGTATTATATTTCAGTACAGCCAAGGAACGTAGATGGTGGTCGGTCTATGCCAGTCTGATATATAAAATATTTGAAAGCCTAAAATACTATATATGAATACATGGTCCTGTATTAAGTAATCGTTCCCTTATATTATCACAAATAAGCAAACAAATTATTATAATTATTTTTGTTACATATAAGTTTTTTATTTACAATAATTTAAATTATCCTCCTCGCTTATTCTCACTTTACAAAATTTAATTTTCAAAATTAACGAACTGTAAAACCAACCCAGCTCCATTACGAATATAACCAAACTAAAACTAAATGCTTTCATTAAACTTATTACAACATAATGGAAATCTTCCATTTTAATGTAGGACGTAACGTATTCGGATGATGATAAATCATCAAAAGTGAATTTACCAACTTTTACCAAATCATAGAAATTATTTTTAAGCCAATAATTTATGAGACCCATATCGGAAACGCGCATTATCAGAATATCCAATTTTTGCTTATACAGAGAATTACGAGGTAAAACAAATCCCATTAGATCGAGACTTTTGAAGCAAATATCGGTGCGACGAAACATCGGTTTGGTGAAAAGTTTCTGTCGTGTGTCGTAGACATGCCAAACGGAGGAGGTGACCGGATATGCATAGGAGCGATTGAATGAGGTACGCAAATCGGCAAAATCTTTGTATGAATCGATAACTTGGAATAATGAGAGATATGGTACAAAATGATTTCCTGAGAGTTTCATGAGGGTGGTAAATTCATTATCTGCAGCCAAAATTGTGAGTTTATATTTCAGCATATCATCTAGGCTTGTGATGCTCTGTACTGTGGGGCGCGTGAGAAATGCATTCAGTTGTACTGAAAAGGCCGTGGTGTAGAGGAGGCCTGAGATAAATAAGGATATGTAAATGATGCGTAAAGATAATCCTGGATAGGCGTTCAACTTGAAAGAGGATCCCAAATGTGCCAAAATAACTTGGGGATTTATGAGAATATTTGTCAAATTCACATCGAAGGTGTGATAACGCTTGTAGTGCATGAGTTGCTGTGACAGTGTTAGTAATGTTGTAAAAATCACATCCATTATAAAGATACCCAGAAGGATCTGCAAGGTTAAGAAACCTTTGAGAAAATCTTGATAGGAAAGCGGCTCCTCTTCGGGTATCATAAGGCACCAACTTAATACTTCATATGTGTAGGACATACGCAGGACAGTTTCATCACTCGTCAGAGGTGTTATACTACACGGCAAGTCGAGCAGATCCATTTGAGTCCAGTTTACAAAATCTCTGTAGAATAGGGTATTATCTGGGATCATATCATCGGGAAATTTCAGAGTAGAATTAATGTATTTTGCAAACATCCGAATAAATTGTGTAATGTAACCGGTTACTTGTAGGTTGCCATTTTCATCTATGTAAACTACTGATCTGGGCATAACTTGATCGGGAATTGTTCTCAGGACCCTACCATAAACATTATCCATTTTGCTGGGAAATAACTTGGGGACTGTGTCAAAATTTCTAACTTCGAGTAGAAATTCTGGATATATCCTGAAGGTATAGAGCACCTGAGTAATCGAAAAATCAAACATCACAACAATGACATTTAACATTTTATAGTAGATAAAGTGGCGGAACAGCAATTCAACATTTTCGCTGCTGGCTGCAGCGTCTCCTTGTTTCCCTTCCATTATCACAATGATACGATTACTTCGTCGCAAGTCCAAAATATTTGCCATAATTTCCGCGAATTCACTAATCTCCATATAACTTGGCAATAGTGCAATTGTTATAAACAGAGAATTTACATTATCCATATCGAAATCTTCGTATTGTAAATCTCCATTAATTAGAATACTTTTATTTAACTCGACCTCCAATAATATTTCCATATAATCCCTTTTAAATTCTCCCACCAGCAGTGCAATTTCAAACTTTTCCTCTTGATCCATACGATTTAGTAATTTTAGACATAATTCTCTTTCCGATTCAAATCGCACAATATTTTGTTGTAAAATTTCTGTTAGTTTCATTGTTGAAATATTTTGTAAACTCAAAATTATTATTAAAATTAAATTTTTCCGTTTGTCGTGATAGCCCATGCTGCTGGTGGTAAAATTGTTTTTTAACTGTTTTCAAAAATAAACGTGCTGTCGTTTGGTAACCTGTAGCTTGCCATCTTTGTATGTTGCCCTTTGACCGACTGGCTGACGGACAGACAGACAGGCAGGCAAGCAGGCAAACAGGCTTGATTTTATGCATGTTTACGGATAATTATTTGAACACAATCAAGGCATTTTTCTCAATTAGCCATATATAATACCCTACACTATTCCTAGGAGATATTCAACAAAAAGTTTTTCTGTAATTTTGGAGAAAATTAAATAAATAATGAAATCGGAAATAATTCCTAATAATATCTCTGGAGAAAAAACATGTGTGGAATATATTATTAGACACAGAGTTAAAAGTGTATACTTGCATGTTCTGTCAAACTGATCTATAATGGCTTTTAGAAATATAATAAAATGTAGATATGTTGGTCAAATGGAGATCAATGTGTGCTTTAAATATGAATATTAGTGGCACAACACCAGAGACTCTATTTTTTGGCTATAATTAGAGTAGTGGTTTTATGAAATAAATATCAAATGTAAGGGTTTCGGGACGCTGATTAAGTTTCAGCAAAGAAGGATGAATTCAATAGGGAAGATCAATTATATATGATCACTGATTGCAAATGTGAAATCCGATTTTGAAGATCAAATAGAATGAATTCAAAATGACGGATCGAACATAAGAAAAACCCAGCAAAAAGGAATGTGGTAAAATTGGTCTGGGTCTGCTATATGATACTCTTAACCACTTTGGGCATATTCTACATATGTTTCTAAAAAGACGTCGACTTTTCTAAGGAACCCATCAACGAAACGCAATAAGGTCATTATAGTCTATATATATATATATATATGGGCAATATTGCCAACTTTTTAATATAAGTGGAGGTTCACCCCTTTATAACTCGGGAATTACTTTAGTATATGGAGAAAAGTGAATAGTTTTGGGTTAATTGGTCTGCCGTTGCAAACTGTTCATGATATTGACCTCCAAACTTTATTTTGGTGGAAGCTGTGTCTACTTTAATGAAAAAAAATGTGTAAAAACAGGTTGAGGCAAACCAGTTTTTTTATGTTCTTTATCGATTTGTGACTAAGCCACTGATTTCACGGTCTTCGTGTCAAAGTAAAACTAGAAGCCAACAAAATGGTGACTACGCCACTTATGTATCATTTTTCAAAATTTTAACTGCATCTACCTTTAAATGATGCTGACATTTTGAAGCTCCATTTTGTGTGTCTTTTGAATTTTACTAGCTTTAATACGCAAACAGGGGCCGACTATATGATACCCTTCACCACTATGGGTATATTAAACAGGACTATTAACATGAAATTGGATGAAATAAAATATGTGATATTTATCTAAATGTGAATCAATCAAATATAAATAGGCCATCCGTTGGGCTATGTCTGTACTTCTACAAAACGCAACTACGTAATTCTATGCTCAATTTTGTAAGTTGCGCAAATTTGATGCCAATCTGACTAACATGAGGAGTTTGATGCCCCTGACATCGGGCGAAAATATATATGGAAGCTCTATCCAAATATTAAGCGATTTCAAAAAAACTTGTCACAGGTCAGGTTATACTAATTTCAGAACGTTTTGTTCCTATCAGCCTATTGGTTCATTGGTCAATTACTTAAAATCAATCTATAATAAAAGGGAGCTATATCTAAATCTGGACCGATTTTCACGAAACAAGGCAGACATAACTCTAGGCTCAATTCAGTACGTTGTGCCAAATTTCGTGCAAATCGAAAGATATATAGCGACATTGTTGCACCATTTACATGAAATCGGACGAAACTATATATGGGAGCTATATAGAAATCTGGACCGATTTTCTCAAAACTTGGCAGACATCACTTTAGGCTTAATTCAGTACGTTATGCCAAATTTCGTGCAAATCGAAAGATATATAGGGACTTTGGGGCACCATTTACATGAAATCGGACGAAACTATATATGGGAGCTATATAGAAATCTGGACCGATTTTCTCAAAACTTGGCAGACATCACTTTAGGCTTAATTCAGTACGTTATGCCAAATTTCGTGCAAATCGAAAGATATATATAGGGACTTTGGGGCACCACTTACATTAAATCGGACGAAACTATATATGGGAGCTATATCTAAATCCGATTTTCTCGAAACTTGGCAGACATCATTCTAGACCTAAATGATTAGGCTGTACCAAATTTCGTGCAAATCGAAAGATATATTGGGACCGTTTACATTAAATCGGTTAAATATATATATGGGAGCTAAATCTAAATCAGAACCGATTTTTCCCAATTTCAATAGGGTTCGTCCTTGGGCCGAATAAATGACCTATGCCAAATTTCATCCAATTCGGATCATAAATGCGACCTGTATTTAACATGGACATACAGACGGACGGACGGACATGCATAAATCGACTTAGAAAGTGATTCTATGTATATTCTCAAAAGGAACCATGGGTCTATCTCGATTATTTTGGCCTGTTACAAACATATGCACAAAGATATAATACACTGTACTACAGTGTGGTGAAGGGTATAAATAGTGTGAGCTGGCACATCCATGGTTCTTAATGGCATGGATCGATGTATTTTTTTAGGGTGAACACCGAAATCGGATGCGCGTTAATGGCATATGGACTTTTCGGAAATTATTCGCGTTTTACGATTTTTTGGGTACTTCAATGCAACATGTCGCACATCTCAGCCGTCAAATGAAATTTCGCAAAATATATATAGATTGGAAGATAAACTTCAGTACTTCCTGGAAACGGCATGCGCATCAAATGCTTTTGAGAATAACGCGATTTAGATGCAATTTAAAATGTATATTTCATAATATTTTTTATTTAAGATTTATTCCTATTTATAGAACCCTAAGATTTATCGGAAGGGTCTTGATATAATCCGCAAGGCGTATACTTATACACAAAACGTGATTATTATTATATATCCCAATTTCTCGGCGAAATTCGGGTAAAATAGCAGAATAGCCCCAACATTTTGTCTGAAATTTCATGTATAAAATTAAAAAAAAATATATATATATATATATATGTATATATATATAAAGGTACCTTAAATATAAAAGGTACCTAAAAAGTACCTGAAAGCGTGTACCGATTTCCCCTATCTGCGAAGTCGATTTAATACGATGGGATGTAAATGGTGCACCCCTGAGAGATAAGGCTGGGGCTACACAAGCTACAAAATTTTCTGTAGATCGCACAGATGTAGTATCTTTGGTGCATTGACACGAATCCGGATGAAATTAAATATGGAAGCTATATTTGAATATGAATACCCTACGCAGCGAGATCTATGTTTCAGCAGATCTAAATTCCGAGACTGGGTAATATTTCCCGACATTTGCACTCTCTTGACCGATTACTCCTCTTCGGCTCTTTTCCGAATCATGTTTTGTTGGAGTAAAAGATTCAATTTTTGTTATTTTATACAAAATTTTTGATGTTCGGCTGATAATTGTGGAGGAAAATGGCTATATGTTTATATAGTAAGGTACACAATTGTCTAAATCAAAAAACTAAGTTCAATTTATATCTTAGTGAATGAACACAAATTTCGAAACTCTTTATTACATATACGAACTGTTTCCGGTATATATCAGAGCATCGTATGCAATTCGCTTATGTATATAAATATAATGTAACTGTAAATAATTAGCTGGAATAAAAATAAAATTTCTGTTAAAAAACATTAACTCTCTTAAAATAATTAACAATCAAAAAATCCGCAATGTTTGCAGGGTATTAACTACAGCTTACTCGAACCACATGTCGCATATACATGTTGCAGCAAAATTATTTAATTTAAACATGTGCGTGATACCTTCATACAAATGAACTGTATAGGATTTAAATGTTATCAACGGGAACAAATCTTTTTATCTGACCTGCCACAATGCAGCAGAGATACTGACACAGCGATTTTACAGGCAGTGTTAATGGAAACTTTTATGTCATTATTCAATAAAGTTTGATATTTCGAAGCGAGTGTTTGAATAAACAAAGAAATGAAAAGGAACAATATTTAAAAAGAAAGAAAAAACAAAAATAATAATAATTTTGATATATTAAGTCACATCAGCAGGATGGTGGGTGTGAGCTACGAAACATAAAATCGGAAATTGGAGAAACAACAAAGAAAGTCCAAAAAATAAGGTTTGACATTTATGTTGATGAGTTAATTGTAATGCGTGTTGGTTGCTTTATTTAACCTTGAATTGCGCTAATGAATTATTTTGGTTAAGGCTCATTTCTTAACACACTAAAATTACGTAATATATGTTGTAAAACATTGCTTTGCTGTTGCTGGTCATGTTAATAACTTTGATGTCACCTTAAACAGATCCGTGTAATATTGGGTGTAATTGTTATTGTATAATATATTCAATGGTATTATTATAACATGTTTAATAGTTGCGAACTTTAAGGGTGACATCGAACATATAGGCATTACAAGAATGTCAAAATTGATAACATTGATCGAAAAATGTATGTGACGAAAATTTATACATGGACCTACACTGGTGGCCAAAACTAAAGTAACTACACCTATTTCGATTCTTATAGATATTTTTTAAATGGATTTTTTTAAAATAACATGTGTGTGGTTTTCAATTTTTTTACTATCAAAAAAATGTTAAAATGGCTAGGAAAAAATACAGTGCACCGATAAAACCGCTAATTTTCAGTGATTGTGAACAAAATTTATCGCAGAAAATGATTTCGAAGAAATATTCCCTAAATAAATTAGTGATTTCTCGAATTATATGTTGATTTTATGCAACTATGTCTTTAGTGAC